ACAAATAACAACCGAAATCTAGGGCTTAATGCAATAAAAAAACAAAAGAGGGTTTTCGTGAGGGCTTCATGAGTGAAATTTTGAACGAGAAAGAAAACAATATTGTAGGTGGTTACAAAGTATCGTAACCTTTCAGCAAAATCGATTTGATGTTTGCAAAATTACAATACTAACCCTGAAATGGTTATTAACAACGTTAATTTAATCAGTTAACTATATATTTACAATTATGTCACCACCAGATTTTACCAATAAAGATCATGCAATCAAAGGGCTATAAAACTATCTTACAATCTCCAATTTTTTTTATCTCAAAGGAACCAACATATATCTCTCTCTCTCTCTCTAGGTTACAGAGTATCGTAACCTTTCAGCAAAATCGATTTGATGTTTGCAAAATTACAATACTAACCCTGAAATGGTTACTAACAACGTTAATTTGATCAGTTAACTATATATTTACAATTATGCCACCACCAGATTTTACCAATAAAGATAATGCAATCAAAGGGCTATAAAACTATCTTACAATCTCCAATTTTTTTTTTATCTCAAAGGAACCAACACACACACACACACACACACATATATATATATATATATATATATATATATATATATATATATATATATATATATATACCTTAAAAAGCATTTAGCATGTTTTGCTGAATTTTAAGAGGTACAATCCTTATTGCCATATTTATAATCAGTTTATGCATTAAAATAATACTGAATGTGAACTGGTCAACATAAGTTTTAAGCCTCGATCCTCTTGACTCGGTCCTCATTCCCTATCCCGTCCAACAACTCCCATGCAATGTCGCACTCCTACAGTTAATCTTCTTCCACATTTATATAACCTCCTCTACCTCCATTCTTCTTTATACCACCACCTCACACCTAATACCATTCCTCGCACCACTTACCATAGTCGTCAGCTCCGCATCATAGCAACACCGCCGCACCACTATTACGCTGTCATCACCAAAACGCTCCACCATCAATTTCCTCCTCCTTCTCCCCCTTAATCGGAGACCATCGCAAGCGATCACCTGTACCCTACTCCATATTCGGTCCCCCAGGCACCCTCCTCAAGCATCGGTGCAATGAAAAACCCTAGCCACCCCAATCTTCAAACTCAATTATAGGAGGCCATCGCAAGCTATGATCACACCGCCATCGACCATCAAAATCATGATCTTGTGGTAGAGAATTGGCAGTTGGTTTACACATATACGGTAAGATGACTTATTACACATGTATGATCTTGATTTCTGGTTTGGTTTTGTCTTTTGTAGTTATCTTTTTTATTTTCGAGTTTGCAGGTCTCAGACTCGATTAAAGGTATGAAATCACTTGTCTTCCCATATTTTCTTTTTCTTTATTTACTACTGATGCTCCCCTATGTCCAGATCTATGAACACATAAACAATTTAGGGCTGTTTGTATTTTTTTCTAAAAATACTACATCTAGATGTGTATATTTGAATTGTTGGGTATTTCTATGAATTTGTGTGTATCTATTTACGTATTTATACGCTTCTCTGTGTATTTATACGCATTTGTGTGTATATATATGTACTTGTATGTTTAGGTGTTGATCTGCGTTTTTTTGTATGTATCTATGTATTTATCTGTATCTGAATGTATTTGTTTGTATATTTGTATAGGTACGAATAGGTGAAGTCAGAGCTCTACTACGCTCCTTCACTTCAGTCCTAATGAGATGAGCAAAGCGTTTACTAGATGCCTTCGTTTTCAAGATATTAATTTTCCTAATGAGAAAAAAAGCCAATGTTGTCGGGGACAGTTTCTTAGAAACCCAAAAGGTTTCCCTACAATTCATTTCACCTACATCTTTTTTTTAACTTTTCTCTTCTCACTTCTTTCCTTTTCAATCTAAATCCATGCATCAGCTTTCTCTGTTTGGTTAATTATAGCAATTTACTTTGATGTCGCCTGTTTTGGGTTTAACGCTTGGCTGATTTTTTTTAATTTCATTTCCATATATTTAAATATTTTTAACCTCAACTTTCAGGAGACTGTGGTGGTGCGCAGGAGCAAAAGCTGTAATTTAACCTAACACTTATGATCTTCAACATTCTGCGTTCCTTTTTGGTAACCTAACATATAGGTATTTTCCAATTCATATATTAATTTTTAGTTTAGGGTAGTTTCTTGTGATCCACCTTCGACCACCACCACTATACCTCATAATGGGACTCTTTTTACATTACTATATTATTCTGTAGGTTCTTGACCAACAAATGTTGCTTTTTGTTTATGGAAATTAATGTAATTGGTTGCTTATTTGATAACTAAATGTACTTCTTTATAATTAATTGTTGAGTTTTTGTTATGATTTCGAATTATTATTCAATAAAATACCATCTCCTTGTATTTTGTTTGAATTTGGCTTTTTGCTCAAATGAAATAACCAAAATGATTGATCTTTATATAACTATGTTCAAGTCATCTGTTTGTATTTTGATCATGGACCGGTTCTGCTTAAGGTGTTTTATTCTTTTTAAAATGGTATTAAGTATGTTCAACAATTATGGGCAACATATTTTTTATTTGCAAAACAGATTTTTAGCATTATATTTTGATTATGTTTTAATTCTTTTGAAAATGGTATAAAATATGTTTGTTTTAAAACTGAATATCTATAGGTGGAGCATTTTTTAAAACATGTACATAAAATTGTCTCATTCACTGTCTTAAGCATATAAACTCAACTTTTACCTGTGAATGACATCGGATCGTATAAATTAATTTTTTTTGTGTGTGTGAAATCCGTTCTTTTCCATAGTAAGAATTTGCATTGGTGGTACAGAACCTTACCGGGCAGAACTGAGAACTAAATAACCGGGAAACGGACCGAGTCGTGGTTCCCGTTTCGGTTTGGTTTTAACATGTACTTTTGTTATTGTTTTCATTTATATAATTCCATCTTTATGCCATGCTACTTTAAATAAACATGAATCTTTACTAACTGTAAAAACAATGTTTCATGTAACATTATTATCAAAACAAAATAATCATTTTAACTTATTGACTCATTTTTATAGGAGGTTGAAGTATATAGATTAGTTGGGATCTCACTGATGAGCACCGTTTATGGTTGTTGGTAGCATTAGCTCAAGCAAACTCACAATGTCTTTGAAAGGGAGCAAAATTGTTTATTTATGATTCATTTCATCCTGTCGCTAAAGAATTTCAGTAAGTTTTTTGATCGTTCACTACGAGATATTTAGACTCTACTGGAGAGGAGATGTGTGTATTCTTTATACCTTTTGGGCATCAGTTGTAATTGTTTATTTTTATAAATTTAAATTTTAAACAATATATTTATTTGCTAATCCCTTATGATTAAATCTAATTAGAAAATTTATTTTAGTAAATTATGTTTTTTTTTAGTCTTAGGTACATATGTAATGAAAAAGCAAAAATTAAGATGAAAAAAATTGAATAGTATAATATAGTAACAGAAAAATTGAACACTAATACCTTGATAATGAAATACTAAAAAACGGAGACAAAAAAAACTAGAACCATTAAGTTTTTCACATCCAAAACCAAATATTTTGGTTTGGTTTTGGTTTCAATAAAGAACATCCCATACACACGTTTAACATTAACAAAGCTTGTTATGATGGATACTAAGAATAAATGTTAATGAGTTATATTAACATTTCAAATACAAATTATTAACTTATTTTGTATTGTTAGAATACATGATGAAAACATAAGTAGTTTTTAATATAAATTATGTTTGTCCTAAATTTTGTTAGAATAATTGATAAATTTGGTTAGAAAAAACGGAAAATTAAAAGCCAAACAATTGTTTTTCGTAAAACCTAATCGCCTCTAAAAATTAATTTCTTAAAGAAATTATTTATACCCGTCGCTTAGCGCGGGTAAACGACTAGTATATATATATATATATATATATATATATATATATATATATATATATATATATAATACAATATTATAAAGCATATTAGTCATATCTTGAATTTTAAGAATTATAAGTTACAAAGCTTTTTTTACATAATTTGCATAAATAATTCACTAATATTTGTCAAAAGTTTGAAGACTTGAATTAAGGAAAGTACTTAAGAAATTCAATTTGGAACAAGATGAAAAATTTAAAATATTAAATTCATATCTATAAATTAATTTACATTTCTTAAACTAAACCACAATATTAATTAATTTACATTAATAGTATAACGGACAATATACACATAAGGTATGGACATAAATATTTTATTTAAAAGTGGTAATTTTTTATTACATAATAACTAATAATAAAATCTAATGATTATTTCTCCGTAAGAAACTATTCGCCAAAAAAAAAAAACGATTGATCACCGTCGCTTTGCGTGAGCACACGTCTAGTGTGTGTGTGTGTATATATATATATATATATATATATATATATATATATATATATATATATATGACTGTGTTATTGTGAGAACTAAAAAAACGTGTGAACTCATAATCAACTCATTATTTTTCAAAAACCAAAAACACAAATTTTCTTCAAATGATGCGTCTAAGCCATATCTAGACTAAAAAAAAGATTTGACAATTATTATTATTATTATTATTATTTTCGAAATTTGCATGTATGCACAATCAACAGCCATATGAAATGCGAATGTGCACAAGCAACAACCATATGGACTGCTAAAAGATTTGTAAGAACTTGCGAACTCATAATCAACTCATTATTTTTCAACACCAAAAACATAAATCTTCTCAAAACTATGCGTCTAAGCCATATCTAGGTTCAAAACAAGATTTGACGATTTTTTTTGGTTTTTTTGTATGACTGCTGATTGTGTTCATCAACAGTCCATAATTGTGCATACATGCAAATTTCGAAAATAAATAAAAAAAATTGTCAAATTTTTTTTTTGAACTAGATATGGCTTAAACACACCATTTGGAAAAAATTAATGTTTTTGCTTTTGAAAAATGATGATTTGATTATGAGTTCGTAAGTTCAGACGTTTTTTTTATTCACACAATAACTCATATATTAGATTTTAAACAATATTTTCTAAAAGTGCTTGGATATAAGCCTCGAAGGTTTTCGAGCTTGAGCTTTTTATTTTTAAAACCATGATAAAATACTAGTAAATCATAAGCGTTGGAGCTACGAAGTTATAAAAATACTGACATGTTTGGTATGTCCTTTTAAGCCCTTCTACTTTATTTTATTACATATTCGCCACAAATATTTTGATCCAACACACTTATGCAAGGTGTCACTAACCGAAGGGAAAACTACATCTCGTCGGGCTTTACAGCATACATTCGCCGTTGATTCACACGGCCATCCAATCGACCAATTTCTCCACAATTTGACCTTCTCTGGAGCCGGGGAGTTCCACGACTTAGTCGCAATTCAGAACCTGACCGAATAATAATCAACAAATTTCATGATCTTATGAGAAACGTGAGTATTAATCGACAAGAAGGAGCCCTAGATTTTCTTTGTTTCTGCTTCTAATTATCAGATCCATAGCTCCAGTGATTCACAAGTGCAAAGAGGGGTAAAATGCTACGTCTGAAAGCATTTCGGCCTACGAATGACAAGATCGTGAAGATCCAATTGCACCCTACTCATCCGTGGCTTGTCACAGCTGATGCATCGGATCACGTCTCAGTTTGGAACTGGGAGCACCGCCAGGTGATTAGCTTGTCGGCATTTAATTTCATTAAATTTTTTTTTTCTGTTAATTTATACAATTTGAACTGTTAGGTGATATATGAGTTGAAAGCTGGTGGTGTTGATGAACGGCGTTTGGTTGGTGCCAAGTTGGAGAAACTTGCAGAGGGTGAATCAGGTTGGTGTACTATAATTGCGACCTTAGCATACTCATGAACATTCCAATTGAGTTCATATGTCTAATGAGAAATGATTCTCCAGTTAACAACTGATGGCGTCTTTCTTTATTACTAAGTAGAAGTTAAAGTATCTGAGGAGTTTGAATTTTCTTTTCTGTTGTTTCAAAATTTGAGATGCTCTATTACATAATGAATTCAGTTTGCTCATTGGTGTGTTATAGGACATTAGATCCACACGTAATACCAAGTGATTAATTGAGCTTAGATGCTAATAGGATGATAGTTCTGATGTAATGGAGAGAGGCAAGATAGAAAACTTATCTGAGATCTTTGAATATAAAGCCCTGGAGTTGGACTTTAATTAAAATTTTGTAACTAGCAGTAACTAACTGTATTTGAACCCCGACTACTGTAGTGAAGACAACATTGCCTAGGGATTGACAAGATGCATGTTTCTTATATCTCTATAGCTGGTTATGAAGACCCAGTGACACATGTCACATTACTTATTGTTACTATTAGGCATTAGTCTCTAGGGGTCGACCGGAGGCCAGTGACTAGTTGGCTTACCTAAGTTGTAAAGCAATTAATATTAGCAAAATTAGATATGACCAATATCCATAGGAGGACAAGGTTTGATACACATTTTTAAGACATGTTTTTTATGAGATACACATTTTTAAGAACAACTATATTGTACACTCGTTTTCAATTACAAAAGTCAGATATATCATATTGGAAAAAGTTAATACCAAGTGAAAATTATTATCAAAATACAGATATAGATATATAAAGAGAGAGGTTGGGCATATATCTTAAAAGTCAGTAGTCGGTCCATCTGTTGGGGACTAGTCGACCACTGGGTATAGGTGTCATTTTGCGGCTAAAGTAAAGAATCTTGTTCTTATTTAATAATCCATGAATCATGAAATGAATAGTATATTAACTTAATTTGTTTTGTATAGATGTGACATACATAGTAAGCAAGAATGATTATAAGAAATTGTATATGTGTAAATGTGGACATTGATAAGTCATAAGTTTTTGATGAATAAACTCTACAATGATGCCTACAAGAAATTTCTAACTTAGTTAAACATATCTATAGAATCATCCTACGTACAGGGCTAGTTTGTATATGAGATGGCGATTTAAGCTTGATTCCAATTTGAGAATGTGACATGATGAACATTTGTTTCGTGAACCAAATGAAGCCGTATGATGTTGATCATATGATATGATGTCAACCAGTGTGTTAGTAAATTGAATAACAGTGAACCAACCTATTATTATCTCTTTGTGAGTGATCTGTTAGAAAGTTTTGCTTGGTGTATATTCTTCTTGCATAATAAATACGCGTGATTCTAGTTGTAAAAGCCTGAGCTGAAATTATTATTTGGGTATAGATAATAGATGTTAGTTGGTTTTTGATTAAACGGAGAAGATGAATCTAGTGTTTTTTTTTATTTTTTTATGTGACAGAGTCTAAAGGGAAACCAACAGAAGCCCTACGTGGAGGGAGGTAAGGGATTTGTGTTTGATTTATGATTTATGAAATTTAAAGCTAGAAATAGTGAAATAATAATAGATATTATATGTATGTGATTTCAGTGTACGGCAGGTTAGCTTTTATGATGATGATGTAAGGTATTGGCAGTTGTGGCGTAACCGGTCTGCTGCTGCTGAACCACCATCAGCAGTGAATCAGTTGACTTCAGCCTTCAATTCTCCGGCTCCATCAACAAAAGGAAGACATTTTCTTGTCATCTGCTGTGAAAACAAGGCCATCTTTTTGGATTTGGTCACAATGCGTGGTCGAGATGTGCCAAAGCAGGATCTTGACAACCGCTCACTTGTCTGGCAAGTCACTACTACATCTCTAATGCTTCTTGTATCCTTTTATATAAAAAACCAAGGAATTTTTATGATTCTCTTATGTATATTCTAGATTTTTTTAGACTTAAATTTAAAACAAATGAAATCCTTTGCATCTCCAAAGTTTTTTTTTTCTTTCTTTTCAAAGGTGGTACTGGTATCTTATATTCAGATATATTAACACATTTTGTTTTTGTCTTGCTCTTGCAGTATGGAGTTCCTCTCTAAATCTGGTGGTGGAGATGGCCCTCTCGTGGCTTTTGGTTCATCAGATGGTGTGATTAGAGTCCTTTCAATGATAACATGGAAGGTTTGTTTTGCAACTAAGATCTCCCCTCCCCTTGTCTATGATTCTAAACTCCATTTGCTTATATACTCCTTCTTGGATGCAGCTTGTAAGAAGGTACACGGGTGGTCACAAAGGTTCCATAGCTTGCTTGATGACCTTCATGGCTTCTTCAGGAGAGGTATGTTCATGCTGTTTCTTAATTAAATCTTGTAATTGTGTAGATTAAACATAGTTAGTTATATGGATGAGATTCTATCCTTGTCATCCTCCATAGAAACAGGAAGGGTATGTTGTTTTGTTTTTATTTTTGTTGGTAATAAATACAACATGGAACCAGTTAGGGTAGTGTTTGGTATGATGGAATCAAGGAACGAATGGAATGGAATGGTTCCTTCCATTTTGTTAATTTTTGTTCCTTAACCTGGGGTATTTTTCATTCATCATGGAATGAAATGAAAAATTGCAATATAACCCATTTTTATTTATGTAACTTTTAGTGACATAGTTTTGTTTTAATTTTTTTTTTCATTATAATTAAATTACATTTTTATATTTTTAGAATAAAATAAGATACTATAAGTAAGCAACTTTGTTCTAAATACCCAGACTACAACATAATTATATTTAGTTGATATAAAAAAATCCATTCCATTCCTATAGGCTAGCCAAACATGATCATACTAATCCTTATTCCTTGGAGACATTTTATTCCACCCAAACAAACGGACGGTCTAAATTCTAATTTAGAACTAAGCCTAATTCATTGTTTACACTGTGGAGGCTTCCTAATGTGAGTCCTAAACATTAGTGTCAATTATTTCTAGCAGCATTACATGGAAATGAGAGAGAGATTCTTCTATTCTTCTCTTTGGTTTATATCATATTCAACTCTATGTGAATGTACGTATAGTATAGCAAACTTGAAATGTGTCACTTGTAATCATTGCCAGAGATATTTTTTAGAGTAAAATTACACGAATGGTCCCTATGGTTTGGGGTAATTTGCACGTTTGGTCCCTAACTTATTTTTTTAACTCGGAAGGTCCCTACAATTTGTTTTTGTTGCGCGCTTGGTCCCTATCTTACCTAAAAAGACTATTTTGCCCTTCATTTATTTAAATAAGGTGGGTTAGGTAAGATAAGGTAAGGTGAGGTGGAAGTGGGGTTGGGGGTGTGTTTATTTAAATAAATTAAAAAAAATCAAGGGCAAAATAGTCTTTTTAGGTAAGACAGGGACCAAACGCGCTACAAAAACAAACAGTAGGGACCTTCCGAGTTTAAAAAATAAGTTAGGGACCAAACGTGCAAATTACCCCAAACCATTCGTGTAATTTACTCATATTTTTTAAGATTATGTAATTCTACTGAGAGTTTAAGCACAAAAAAGAAAAACAACACACAAATAGACCCAGCAACATTGGTCACAACAAGTCATTCATGTTATGGTGGTACTGTTTTCACATGACAAACAGAGTTTAGAAAATCTGTAAACTAGGGATCATGTTTTCTTCCAGGGATTTGGATTCTTGAACGATCTTCTTCTGCCCACCTTACCCTGTAGTATATTTTTTTCTGTCTTTGATTATAGATATAAACGTAGTACTCTTTAAGAACATATTTTTCTTAGCAGTTAGCATGGATAATTTTATTTACAGTTGCATCATTTTCTATGATGGTAAATAATTAATATAGTTAAAAGTTTTGTTCTTAATCACCATGCACTTATCTTTGTATACAGGCTCTACTGGTCTCTGGTGGTAGTGATGGTGCACTTGTACTTTGGAGCGCAGACCATGGTCAAGATTCACGAGAACTTGTGCCTAAGCTGAGTTTCAAGGTAACCATACCATACCATGCCAATTTTATTTCTGTCACAAGTCATACAAAAATACTCGAGTAATCCTTAAAGTTATACATGAGTAAAATCGTATTCCTGCTTTTATAGACTAAATGCAAGAAACAGCAATGTCCTTTCAACAATTGTTTTAATATAGCATTGTACTGTCATTTCTTCTTATTACAACATTGTACATTAAAAATCCACCTAATCAGAGCAATGAGGTATCCTGTTTAAAAGGTAGCAAGTTACCTATTACTATAGCGGGCAGATTTTTCAAAGTACAATGTCCTAATAATAAATAATTTAAAGTACAATGCTATAATAAAAAAGTTTTGGAAAAATATTGCTACTTCTTGCCAAAATGGTTCAAGTATTAAGATTATGGTATGTAATTGGTGTTCAAAGGGTTGATGTTGTTTGATTGTTACATTTGATGCTTTTCCAAATGTTGAAAATTTTGGACTTGTTGAATGTGATTTTTTTTATTTTTAATTCTTTTTTGGTGTGGAAGTAGCCTAATGGGTAAGAATATGCAAGTGAAAACATAATACTTGGTCTAAAAGTCTGCACCTAGTTTCTTTTAACATAGATAACAATCAATGTGCAAGACAAGATGATACTGATATTCTACATGCAGAAATAACAACAAAATCAATTATTGGCGACTATAGGATTATACTTTGATTTCTTTCTACGACAACATGTTTATTTTGTTATTAGTTTCAACTTTTTTCTTATTAGGACATTAAATTGGCAGTGAAAAAAAATTGGTTTTGTATCTTTGGCATTTGAGGACATTTAATTGCTATAATTGGGTAGATGTACCAAGGTACAATGATGTAATAGGAAGAATTGAAACAAATTTATGGAAGTTTGGCTTGCATTGAACCCTATTTTAAAAGAAAAGGCTAACTGCTAACATCTGAGATACCATTACCATTGAAGGCACATGACGGTGGTGTTGTGGCTGTTGAGTTATCCAGAGTGAGTGGAAGTGCACCTCAGCTCATAACAATAGGTGCGGATAAGACTTTAGCCATCTGGGATACAATGTCATTCAAGGTACACACTGCACTACTCCTTGGTATTTGGAAGATTGAAAAAACCAATTCCAATTCCAAATATACTTTTCAACTGATTGATTGGTCTTGTCATCTATGTCATGTGTTTGCAGGAATTACGGCGTATTAAGCCTGTCCCTAAAATGGCTTGTCATAGTGTGGCATCTTGGTGCCATCCTCGAGCACCCAACCTTGATATATTAACTTGTGTCAAAGATTCACACATATGGTATTTATTATCTCTTTCTCTTTTACTACTACATCTGTGGAAATATCAGATATTTTAGGACTCCGCACCAATTGGCTAGGGTTAGGGTTAAATATTTCCAGTGATTTGCTTATTATAGATTTTGAAAAATCCACCCAATTATAGCACTGTCATCCGAATTCAAAACAATTTTCACTGGATAGATCATAGATTTCTGTAATACGAAAAAATTTGGAAGTACAATGCCTTAATAATAAAAAACATGGTAAACCACACCATCTGAGCCGCCCATGGCCCACATGGAACAAAAAAAATTCAAGTATAATAATGCTGCCTGTAATAGAAATAATGCACAAATAAATGAAAGTAGATTGCTATTTCTTGCATATAGCTCTTAATATTATGCTGCTTTCTCTTTCTGGTTAAGTAATTATTTTTCTCTTTGTAAAAATTTGCAGGGCAATTGAGCACCCCACTTATTCTGCTCTAACAAGGCCATTATGTGAACTTTCTTCTCTTGTTCCTCCACAAGTACTTGCGTCTCATAAAAAGCTTAGGGTATGTATTATACGTATGTGGCTTTTGTAATTTTTGCTTGTTGAAAGCTTAGCTTAATGAGAAGCTATATTTACATTGATGCATGTGTTGCTAAACAAATGGCCAAATTGAAATTGTGGGGAATAGCAATGTGCTTTGTTCTTGTTAGTGTATTTTATTTTTTACCCATAATAGCAACATATAACCTGAAAGTTGTAAAAGGCTTACAAGCTTCATTGTTACATACATATTGCTATTAGCAGTAAAGTAGTGTAAGCACGTTGCTATTATGGGTAAAAAGTGTAGTTCATTTCTAAGTTTCAGGTTACATATTGCTGCTATGGGTAAAGAAATATGTAAGCACGTATTTTTGTTACTGGTAAACCTTGTGCTCATTATTTCATAAATGTGTGCATACACTAAAGACATGAAATTAAACACAAGTTACACATTAAATGACACAAGGAACATAAAATGAAAAACTAGGTGACCTTTTTATACCCTTCTAAGCTCAAAATTCACATTGAACTCTTTGTTTAGGGATTAACATAAACTCATACAAAGCCTCAAATAACCTCTAAACACTGCATTCATTGTCCCTACCCAGCCTCATCTGTCTGATTGTAAGAGAGAGGTGTCCAAATACAGTGATAAGGAAACTAGGTGTCAAATCAAGGGATGAATATGATACTAAGTGTTATATGCAAGAATAGCAACGTACTCCTGTTGACTTGCTTGTTAAAGCACCCTACTTCCATTTTTATTACATCATTGCACTTTGAAAATCCATCCAATTATAGCAATATCATCCAAAAAAAGCATTTTTCACTGCTATGAATAGGTAGATTTTCCCAAGAAAAAACATTTTTCAAAATCCAATGGCTTAATAAGAGATAGATTAGAGGTACAATGCTGTAAGTGTAACATAAAGAAAGGATAATCGGATGCTGTAGAAAACAAATACGTTGCTATTTCTTGCATTTAGATGGGTATGGGTATATTTTATTTATTTATTGAGGAGTGTAAATATTTGTTTGGTTTGGGTGGATGGTGATGATGATGCAATTATAGGTATATTCGATGGTGGCACATCCCTTACAGCCACATATTGTTGCAACTGGAACAAATATAGGGGTGATACTGAGTGAATTTGATCCAAGGTCTCTCCCTGCTGTTGCTCCTCTACCATCACCACCAGAAAGCCGTGAACATGCAGCTGTTTATGTAGTCGAAAGGGAACTGAAGCTCATACAGTTTCAATTATCCAACACACCAAATCCTTCACTTGGAAGTAATGGATCCTTGACTGATGCAGGAAAATTAAGGGGAGGAGACTCTTCTGAGCAGCTCAATGTCAAACAGATCAAAAAGCATATCAGCACTCCCGTTCCACATGATTCCTATTCTGTTTTATCAGTAAGCAGTTCTGGAAAGTAAGGCTCTCTTCTCTTCTCTTCTCTTCTCTTCTCTGTTTGGATATGGATAATATTTGAGATAATGATTGCATACTTTGGGAAATGGAAGGAAAAAATAAAGGGTGACTTTCTTCATATTAAATCCATTAAGTAAAAAAGAAACAACACCTAAGGTGGCGTTTGGTTCACAGAATGTTTTTGAAGGAATTGGAATCTGTCAGGAATTGCAATCAAATTCCATATTCTGTTTGGTTGGCAAGAATGAAATTTGAATCCAAATCCATATTATGTTTGGTTGGCAGAAAATGGAACTGAAATAATATAAAATGACAAAATTGCCCTTTTCTTTGCTTATTTTTACTTTGTTTTAAAGCTTATATTTAAAAATATATTATATAAATTATAAAATTAGTAAATGATGGTGATGGTGGCAATGATGTTGACGGTGGCAATAGTGGTGATGATGGCGACATAGGTGATGGTTGGTAGTGGCGGAGGTGATAACGGTGGTGATGGTGATGGTGGCGGTCATGAGTAGTGGCGGAGGTGGTGTAGTGGTGGTAGTAACAGTGGTGGTGATGAAGGTGGTGGCGAAGGTGTTGGTGGTGGTGGCGGAGGTGATGGCGGTGATGGTGGCAGTGATGGTATGGTCGCGGTGGTGGAGGTGTAAGGTAGTGTGGTGGTATAGGCGGTGATGGTGGGTGGTTGTGGCGGTGGTGTGTAGCGGGTGGTGACGATGGTGATGTGTGGTGGTGGAGGTGGTGGTGGTTGTGGCGGAGGTAGTGATAGCGGTGGCAGTGGTCGATGGTGGTGGAGGTGACGGTGCTAGTGGGTGGAGGGTGGTGGTCGCAGAGGTACCAGTGGTGGTGATGGTGGGTGGCAGTGGAGGTGGTGGTGGTGGGTGGCGGTGGTGGTGGTGGTGGCAACAAAGGGGTTTCATATGTAGTGTTGAAAGTAAAATGTGTAATATGGTAACATTCAACATTCTCACTTGAAAGGAATTTTAATTCCTTAAGTCTTTGGATGTAATTTATTTTCCCTCATTTGAAGGAAAATTTCACTCATTTAGGAATCCAATTCCTCATGAAAGCTTGAACCAAACAAAGGAAAGTGATGGAATTAGATTCCAATTCCTTCTAATTCCAATGGATTCCAACGAACCAAACGACACGTAAGTGCTATATGGATAAATGTGGGCAACTTTGTAGAAAGTTATGGACTTAATGAGGAAATACTTATTTCCATTATGGATTTCACCATTCATACATAGGGGATAGGGGAGGATGGAGGAAGTGAATTTCATCCTTCCTTTTTTATTTAAGGTATAAAAAAACCAATTATGTTTTTACAATAAACAAAAAATATTTATATAGATAAAGATAAAGATGTAAAAATTACTAAATGTTGATAATGATTCGTTGATATTCCTACGAAGAAGGGCGTAAGTGCATTTGTGGTTGCAGGTATGTTGCAATCGTATGGCCTGATATTCCGTACTTCTCGATCTACAAGGTGAGTGACTGGTCGATTGTTGATTCAGGCAGCGCGAGACTCCTGGCATGGGATACTTGTCGGGACAGATTTGCACTGTTAGAATCTGCAGTAGCTCCCAGGATGCCCATATTGCCAAAAGGGGGTTCATCCAGAAAGGCAAAAGAGGCTGCTGCCATTGCTGCAGCTCAAGCGGCTGCAGCAGCTGCTTCTTCCGCAACTGTTCAAGTTCGTATCTTGTTGGATGATGGGACTTCCAACATATTAATGAGGTCCGTTGGTGCCCGAACTGAACCGGTATGTATGAATTTCCTCTGTCCCATTTTCTTCTTGTCTTGTGTTGTGTTCTGTCATGTCATGTGTAAGTACAAATGGGACGGGGCCCAACTGTTTTGCATTTTTGAAAATGTTCTCTACTTCAATTCAAAACTGATGCCAGTATTTCTTTTTCCTGAATTAAATCCAGGCCAGGGATACTGAATATTTATCCTAAAATTGTACCTCACCCTCCCTCGTCCCATGCTCTTTCATAAGTTTGTAGATTTGCCCAAGATTCGAATCCATTTCCATTTAAATCCCGTGCCGTGTTTGGTTGCAAATGCAATTGAATTTCATTGGGATTCACTGCACAAAATGTATTTTAACATTCCATCCAGTTCCTACCTAGCTTCTTCTTCTTGGTAAAACAATACTCGAATACTCTTTTAACCCTAGAATTCCACAAGCAAACAATTCTTGCGTCTCCATCTGCCTCAGGGATTCCATTCCATTTCCTGCAACCAAATTCCAGTTCCTTCCTAAACATTTTGCAAACCAAGCGCCCCTAAGAGATCTTTCTGATTATAGTAATAGAAAGTCTATCCCGCTACTTAGTAGTTAGTACTAATGCATATTCCTCACAGATAGAGTGACCTTAATGGTTTATGTGGTGAATGCTAAGACTTTTTCTTTCTAGGTAATTGGACTGCATGGAGGGACACTACTTGGCATTGCCTACCGGACATCAAGAAGGGTTAGCCCTGTTGCTGCCACCTCTATTTCATCAATCCAGTCAATGCCCTTGTCAGGCTTTGGCAGTAGTGCCCTTTCTTCATTCAGCACCATGGATGATGGCTTTTCTTCTCAAAGAACTCCTGCTGAAGCAGCACCTCAGAACTTTCAGCTATACAGGTAAACTTTTTCATCATCACTTGAACGCGGCTTTGGTCAAACTAGTGGTGATGTTATATATGCTAAATATGCTTTTAGAAGCTCACAATTGTCATTTAGTTAATCTTTTTCTGTTGTTTTATATATCAAGCATGTCTATGTATTATTACATGCTAAAAACACTCAAAAACCGAAAACCTGTAGCCAAAAAACTGAGTTGTTTTGAAAAACAAATGGTTTGTTTTTGTTTCTTATAAAAACTGGTATTTTGTTACAAGACCAGAAAAGGATCCTACAGAAAAACTAAAAACGATGTTTTATGTATAAGTTAATTGATTAGTTCTTTAAAATTAAACTGTTTGTCTGGTTTCCAATTTCCATTCCACTTTTCTGGGAAACTTCCCTAATTCTCATTCAAAACAAATGAAATTGCAGCACATACTAGAGTATCAATAGTAGTTGATTGAGTCAAATCAAATAGTTTAGAATCACACAAGCTTCTTACTCTAGCATACAGACACTAAAAAACCAAAAAGACTGTGAAACACCCCAAAAACTGATTCTATGGAAACCCGAAAAGCAGCTAGAAACTGACTTTTTCAATTTTAGGCAAAAAAACTGAGCTGAACCGGACCATGCTCACCCCCTACATTAGTTTACTTGATATTAAGGCATTGTACTTTGAAAATCTACCCAAGTATTTTAATTTCTTTTTCTTATTAAGACATCTATCTAACTATAGCAGTGAGAATTGCTTTGTATTTGCATAACATTGGTATAATTTGGTAGATTTTAGAAAGTAGAATGGTGTAACGGGATAGGAAAAGATGGAAGTGGAATGCTATATATAATATAGAAATAAATAAAAGTAGGTAGGTATTTCTAGCATTTGAACCTAGAGTTGTATGATGTTGCAAGTATGTATGCATATGATTGAGTAATTATTTATGATGTATATATTTTTGTAGTTGGGAAAGCTTTCAACCTGTGGGGGGAATGCTGCCTCAGCCAGAATGGACAGCCTGGGACCAAACTGTTGAGTATTGTGCTTTTGCATATCAGCAGTACATCGCCATATCTTCCTTGCGACCTCAGTACCGATACTTGGGAGATGTGGCCATTCCTCATGCCACTGGTGCAGTTTGGCATCGCAGGCAACTGTTTGTGGCTACACCAACAACAATTGAGTAATGATAGATTTTCATCCCTCCTTAGCAGTCTTTCTTGAGAGTTATTTTTCAATCTTTAGATTAGGATGGATATTGGCTGCATTTTTTTTACACAGGACTGGACAAGCTTTCTATGATTATTTTTGATGACAAGGACGATTTATGTCTTTTGCACCCTATCCCAAACTTTTTGGATGGGGAAAAGAAGTGCAATTTTTATCCCATTGGCATCAGTCTAATGTCTAATGGCAGTAGAAGGATCAGCCTAAAAGTAAAAATCATCCCTATGAGGGTCTCTTACACATACATATACATCTTCATTGGTTTATAGTGACTAAGCATTTATGGTGGTTGGCTGGTGTTAGGTGCGTTTTTGTGGATGCTGGTGTTGCACCTATTGACATCGAAACAAAACGGAGAAAAGAAGAGATGAAACAGAGGGAGGCACAGGCACGGGCAGTCGCTGAGCATGGAGAGCTAGCACTAATTGCAGTTGATACTCCTCAAACTGCTGCACAGGAGAGGATTTCATTGAGACCACCAATGCTACAGGTACTTTACTCATTTGGATTATATTATTTTCATATCATAAAATCGGCTAAATGCAACCCTCCCTTTTTTATTTCTGTATTGTAGCATCCTACTTCCGTTACAAACTTTTTTTTCTCTTATTAGGGCATTGTAAATTCGAAAATACACACCCGATTATTGTATTGTGTTTTCATTTTTATACTCATTAGGACATCATACTTTGAAATCTCTACCCAATTATAGCAGCGAGAATTGCTTTGTATTTGGATGGGATTGCTTTTTAATTGGGTAGATTTTTCAATAAACAATGCTATAACAGAAATAAAAGAAACTTGGATGCTATAATAAACAAATCAATGAAAAGGATGTTACTATCTATGGCATTTTAGCCTTTTAACATGATGTCCAGGACAATAGCACAACTTATAACTTGATTACCTGCTGTTTGGCTGGCATAACTGGCATGTTGTGCTACAGTACATAATGAATATTATAGGCCAAGTCCAGTAGGCAAGAAGACATCAAATTTAGTTGGTGTAAAATAAGGCATGGGCTTTTGCTAGTCGCACTTTGATTTTTTTATAAGTAAATACTAAATAGGGAAATGGGGCTATTATATACCCAAGCTTAGGTGTAGAACAACTACAACGACTTGATTTAGTGATCACAGCAGGTGTTTTTTGATGGAATTATTATTTGCCTTAGTATCGGGCATTGGTGGGTTTTCTGGAAACCAATCAGTCATGTGAAAAAATCAAGAGGGTGATTTTTTTTACTCAAAACTATGTTGTTTTGAGTGATTTTTAACAATCACATGCTTACACCTTACTTTACCTAGGCTTTTTATATAGGTAATAAAGATGGTAAGGTAAGATGATTTGATTTGTTTGCATTTTTACTCTTTAGTTTGGCTTCTGTCGAGATGATACGCGTTGTACCTATACTATACAATAACAGTTTTCAGTTGATGTGCTTGGTATTTATTGTTATCACACCTACATGTACGGATACTTGAGTAGAATATTTAAATTGAAAAAAAATGTATTATGTTGTTGAAACTTGAAACAGGTTGTGCGACTAGCTTCTTTCCAGCATCCACCGTCTATTCCTCCTTTCTTGACATTGCCTAAACAAAGTAGAGGTGATGGTGGTGATGATGCCGGGTTGCAAAAGTTTGCCGAGGGTAAAAGAGTTGATGAGATAGCTGTTGGTGGTGGAGGAGTGGCGGTTGCTGTCACTCGGTTTCCAGCAGAGCAAAAGCGACCTATTGGACCTCTAGTTGTTGTGGGTGTCAAAGATGGTGTTTTATGGCTAATTGATAGGTACTTCTTGCTAGCAAATCATCATTTTTAATAAATATTTATAAACATATCTTAAAGTAAGTATGCTCCTGATCTCATCTGGTTAGATTAAAATATGAGATCAATTCTAAACTCTTTCACCTCTGTCTGAACCAACATGAAAGCGTATATCATATAATTCCCTAGTATCTGTCTGTCTGTTTGTGATAGGTACATGTTTGCTCATGCAATATCCCTCAGCCATCCTGGAATACGTTGCCGCTGTCTTGCCGCCTATGGGGATGCTATTAGTGCAGTAAAATGGTACATTTCTATATCTTTTATTACTTCTCATCATCTGCACTCTTACTCTTTTTCTTTTTCTAGGGCAAGTAGGCTTGGTAGAGAGCACCATGATGATTTGGCTCAATTTTTGCTTGGCATGGGTTATGCTACCGAAGCCCTTCATTTACCTGGAATATCTAAGAGGTTTGCATTGTCTCACTTTACTTTGGCCCCACAAAACATGTGACAACCTTGTACTGTGTTTGGCATGGGATTGAGACTCATGTAGTCCTCATTGTCACTGCTATTATAAAAAAAGTACAATGCTGTGATTGGGTAGATTCTCCAGAGAGAGTGTAACATAAAAAGAAATGAAATTAGGATGTTAAGGTAATATGAAAGTAGTAGGTAGACTGGGTAATTTTTTTTTTTTTTCCTTTTGTGTGGTTGTTCAGGTTGGAGTTTGATTTGGCGATGCAAAGCAATGATCTGAAAAGAGCCCTCCAATGTCTTCTGACGATGAGTAACAGCAGGAACATAGGTCAGGATGCTGTGGGACTGGACTTAAATGACATAATGTCTTTGAGTATGACTACTGCAAATACTAAAAAGGAAGACATTGTGGATGCTGTGGATGGGGTGGTGAAATTTGCACAAGAATTTTTGGGAATTATCGATGCAGCAGATGCCACTGGACAAGGTGAGGTGGCTCGGGAAGCTCTTAAGAGATTAGCAGCTGCTGGTGCAGTGAAGGGAGCTTTACAGGGTCATGAATTACGAGGACTGGCTTTACGCCTTGCAAACCATGGAGAGTTGACACGACTTGGTGTATGTCCCATTTCCATTTCCAAAATCCAATTCATATTCTTCTCTCTCTCTCTCTCTACTTATTTGCTTGCATTCACCTTTACTTTAGACCCTGTGGCTGTTTGTTCTTAGATATGTCGCCAGCTACGTGAGATACCACATGGCCACTGCCATGTAAGTTTACTGTTTATTATGTACACATTATACTATTAAACTTTTTTTGTACATATTTCACCATTAAACTCTTTTTGTACATTAATCTTACATAACTTGTTAAAAAAAATTACATATTATTACATATATATAAAGTAATTTTACAAATAAGCTCAAGTATTTCAATATATAAATGTGTATTGTTACATACATATAAAGTATTTTTACAATAAATGTGTTTTTTGTGTATAAATATACATTTCAATGCATAAATACATATTTTTACATTTGAAAACCCTAGTGTGGTCATGTAGTGTACATTTTTACATTTAAATGTATATATACATAAATACTCAATTATCCAAACTGATTAGACTAGTAGTTTAACTTTAACTAAAATAATAGATAATTCAGTATTTATGGATTTATACATTTAAATGTAATAACTTGAGCTAAAATAATGGAAAATAAGTATTGATACATTTAAATGTAATAATGTATACTACATGATGAAATATCAAAATATGTATATATACATTGAAATCTCTATCTATGCACAAAAAAGACAATTTTATTGTAAATATACTTTGTATGTAAAAATACACATTTATATTTGAAATACTTTTGAGTTTATTTATAAAAATACTTTATATGTATGTAATAGTATTAACCATCACTTTGGTAGCTCACTAGGCTTGGACACCTCATAAGGAGGTCTCAAGTTCAAATCTTGGGGGTTTCAATCAGGGTAAAGGTGTGCAACGCAGTCCTAAAAGGGGCTGCTTCGTATCATTGCCAAAGGCGTTCGAACCATCTCCCCAAACCTTGCAATATCGGGGAGGCGAAATGGGCGGTTAGGAACCCATTTTTATGTAATAATATATGTATTTTTGAAATGGTAGATTTTGAACAAATTATATGATATTAATAATGGTAACATGTGTACAAAAAAGTTTAATGATAAAATATGTACAAAAAAAGTTCAATGGTATAATAATATTAATGTGTACATAATAAACAGTAAAAATCCACATGGCTGGTGACCTATTACCAGTATCGCAATGGTGTTTTTTGAAAAAAAGGTAAAGTTTAATGGTCGTACGTACGTGTACAAAAGTTATAGTTGGTTGGTAGTACGTGTACACAAAAAAGGCCCAATGGTATTTTTTGTACAGTTGTAAGTAATTTTCTTTTCCCTTATTGTAAATAATTGTCCTGTCCATGACTACTACTCTATGATGTTTCTTTGCTAAAGTAAAGGTGTTATATTTTTTTGGTAGGGGTTGGTGAACAATTTGATATCAGTGGGGTTCGGGCGGGAGGCTGCATTTGCAGCTGCACTTTTGGGGGACAATGCTCTTATGGAGAAATCATGGCAAGATACAGGAATGCTAGCTGAAGCCGTGCTTCATGCCCATGTAAGAAAAAACAAACAACTCACACTGACTATGCCTTTCCATTTCTACACTAGTGTGTTAGTGGGACAAACCTTTACCCAAAATTGTGGAACAATACCAGAAAAGTATGACTTGTATTTATTTATTTATTTTTTTTGTTCTTGGGTCAGGCACATGGACGGACAACGCTGAGGAGTTTAGTTCAGTCATGGAACAAAACACTGCAAAAGGAGATGGAACATGGGGCTTCCACAAAGACGGACGCAGCCAGTGCATTTCTGGCTTCTCTTGAGGAACCCAAACTCACAAGTCTTGCCGATGCCGCCAAAAAGCCACCCATCGAGATTCTTCCCCCTGGAATGCCCTCCATAGATGCCCCTCTTCCTGGAATTCAGAAAAAACCACAACCACAACCACAACCAGCTAAACCTTTGCAAATAGGAGGGCCTCCATCTGAATCAGTTGCTGCAGACGCACCTGCACCTGAACCTACAGCAGAACCTGGGGTTCCAGTCCCACCATCAGAATCAGAAGTTGCAGCAGCTACTACAGTCACAGATACACCTACAACAGAAATGGAACCTCAACCCAGTGGTGATGCTTTGGTTGAGCCAACCGAATCGACTACTACTGCTGATGTAGCTTTGGAAAATCTAACTCCCGACTCATCCCTTCCGGATCCAGTAGTTGCTGTAGCGGGAAAGGATATTATTGCATCTGTTGATTCTTCACTCACTGCACCTCTAACTCCAATGGACCCGCCACCTTCTCAGAAACCAGAACCTCCAATTCCAATTCCAAGGCCAACTGGTGTCCGTCAGGAACTACCCATGATGGATTGGACTATGTAATACTCTCTACTCCACAATTTTCTTCTTTCTTTCTTTTCTCCCAATATAACATCCTCCTTAGGAACTTCATTATTACATTACTTCCTCTCTATGTTTTTGTTGCTTTAATTCTCAACACTAGAATCACATATTTTAACTTGTTTGTTCATCGTGTAACCCTCTGTTTTTATTTTTATAAGCTATTTCACATTTTGAGACCCTTGCTTGATTCATGATTACTTGCAACGGTTCCATCCGTTTTACTTCTTGTAGTGAGAATAAGTAACAACACTAAAAGGATGTCTCAACTTCAAACCTTACACTTTCAATTAAGAGATTATCAGGATAAAGGGTGATTAGTATCATCGCTACAGCGAGCCATCTCCCCCATACTTCACATAACTGGAGTCGCAATGGGCTATTCGCAACCCATTTTTGTGTAGTAATGTGTTTGTGAAATAATATTTTTCAACATATTATATGATATTATTGGTAAAATGTGTACATAAAGTTTAATAGGTTTTGATGGTATGTATGTCCATAATAAACAATAAAAATCCATGTCTACAACCAAGTGACATGCTATGTAACTGGCGATTTACTATTCCTTGTAAAACAATATTTTTTTTGGAACAAAAGGTAAAGTTTAATAGTTGTACGCGTACAAAAGCTATTCCTGGTAAAACAATATTTTTTAAGTATATATATATATATATATATATATATATATATATATATATATATATATATATATATACTTAAAAAGGGTAACAAAACATCATAGCTTTTGTAGGCCTACAACTATTAAACTTTACCTTTTGTTCAAAAAAAAATTAGGGAGTAGTTCAAATGAGAACCCAAAAAGATTAAGAACCCTAAAAACCATTTTTTTAAAATGTTTTCAAAAAGATATTTTAAACAAATAAAACATTAATATTTAATAAATCAAACTCTTCATTCCCTCCTTTATAAATGGTCACCACCTGTAGCCACTGGAACATCGTCGGACCGCCACCGAAAGGTCGCCCTATTGCAACCGGACTAACACAAAATTAAATGACATTTTTTGGTCGTATTTACAGTTTAATAAACAAACATTTCAAATCTCATTTAAAAAGACTATTTATAATTAAATTTACAAAAATTTAATCAACGAAATAGAACTATATCTTGACAAATTCATTCACAATTCAAAATACAATATTCATAGTTTAAAAAAAAATATGAATTCACTCATTCACACTTTAACACAAAAATTCATACAAAATTCACAATTTAATACAATACATTCATAAATTAATTTAGTATATTCACTGTTTAATTCACAAAATTCACAACTTAATACATAAAAATTACAACTTAATATAATACATTCACAACTTAATAGAAACTATTTATAGTTTTGCTTCCTCATAACACCATCAAATCTCCAAGGTACATAAATTATATGCAAACTCCAAAAATAATATCTGGATAAAAAACAATCAAAATTCATAGTTTAATAAATATATATATTTTGACAGATTAAAAAAAATAGTCAAGTAAGAGAAGAGAGTTGAAGATGCAAAACCATTAAATGTAGAGCAGTTACATTTTCCAAAAATCTTATCTGGATAAAGAAAACCAGAATTCACAAATTAATATACTAATTCTTTTATAATTCACAGCTTAAAATATTAGTTCAGATACTCATTCACAGCTTGACAAATACTTTATTTTCATTGAGGTATTTCATCAAACACCTTTTTGCATTTGATTTAAGAACTTTTTTATCTAACTATTATCATCAGAGATCCAACCATAGAAAAGTTACATAAAGAACATAATATGAGAAGGAGGTACAACAAATCTGACATGGTGGTACCGCCATCGACCACCTTGAAGTGCACAATAACCACCAGATCTACAACTAAAATACATCAAAAACATCAAATCTGATGTAGATTTGGTGGTGTATCACCGAATATCAAAGATAAGAGATTAAGGTTACATGACGGAGTTTCACCACAGCAACGAGCATCAAAGATGACGATGATTAACGTTATCAGTGTGCATCAAATCTGTTGTAGATCTACTTCTTTTTCACCAGAGATCACGTAGAAAGAGATGTAGGCAGCTAATCGTGTTTCACTGAAGCGAAGATGAAGCAGAATGTAACATCCCAATCCTCAGGTATGAAATTTAAATCTTTGGTCATGTTTTTCCTTGGCAACTCGACGAGTTGGAAGGCCTCAACTCGTCGTGTTGAGGTGGCATTGGCCGCGAATATTAGTGGGCCAACTCGGAGAGTCGAGGAGCCTCAACTCGACGAGTTGGCAGCTGATTATGAAACCCTAATTTTTAGGGTGTTGCACCTATTTAAAGGCCTATACCCTTTGGATGGCCTCCTTACCAGTCTCCTCTGTCCATAAACCCTAGTTTCGTGCATCCTCTCCCATATTTGAGTGTATGTGAGCTTGAATAGTGATTTCTTGGTGTTCTTTTGAAGGAGCTTGAAGTTTGAGGTGGCTTGATTGAAAGGAAATCTATAGATCTAGAACCTCCTCTTTTGTTGCCGTCATTTTTAGGTATAAAGTCGACACCTTGCTTCCTTACTTCTTAGATCTCTTCCTTGGAAAGATTATTGGGATTTTTGGATCATTTATGGATTGTTCATGGGGTTGAGCTTTTCATGGATTGTCACCTTAGATCTGGCCATTTTGTGGCTTCTTTTGGCTTAAAGTTGCAAACTTTATTAGGTTCAAGACCTCATCTTTAAGTTCTCTATTAAGCCTTTTATGAGTTCTAGAGCTTCTTTTGGCATGCATGAACCTAAAATTGGCAACTTTACGTAGTATTCTAGCCCCAAAGAACCAAATCTATATCTTGAAGCATTAGATTCGATAAAAAAGGGCTGAATGTGTTAACACTGGGAAAACTCGGTGAGTTGTCCTGCCAACTCGGCGAGTGTAACACCTTGATTTCCATTTAATTATCTAAAGAAGAATGAAAATATTAGACTAATTAAAAGTATAGAAGCAAGGAACCATTTGGGTTTTATTTAATTTGAAAAGGGTATTTATAAGTTTATTGTCATCAAATGACCATTTAATTAATTGAAAATAATAATAATAATAAAATGAATATATATATATATATATATATATATATATATATATATATATATAATTATGGAATAAAGTTAGAAATAGTTATTTGTATATAAGGTTTGTAGGTTCTTCAAGGGACTAAATAAGGCCAAATGAGAAACTTATATGTTGAGTTAATGAGTCACAGGACAATTGTTGCCATCTTGTAAAATCTGAGGGACAACTTGTGCAGTTTTCAGGAACGTGATCTTCCTGCCTCCTAGAACCCGACACTGTATAGGGCTGTTCATTATTTGGATAAAACCGAATTGTCCAATTGGACAATTTGGATTGGACTATTTACTTCGGATATTCGGATTTTTGGATTGGTTTTCAACAAAACCGAATTACTATTTTGGATTTCGGATTGGTTTTGGTTTAGAAAACAGGAACCGAATAGTCCAAAAAACCGAATAAACATTTATTATTTATTTATTTTTAATATATATCTTTAGTTATTTATTATTTTTGTAATTTATTCTTTAAAATAGGTTCAAAACATTTCACCCGATAAAAAAACATTAATATGCATTTTCTCTCAAAAGTTTTCTATTTATAAAATATTTAACTATAATATACCTTCTTAGTAGTTGTTTATAAATTTCAAATCACAACCAAATAATTTGTTTTCATTTCTTGTGTAAAATTGGGTAATATTATAATTATATTTCGTTTTAAAATGTTTTGGTTTTTGAAAACCGAATTATAAAAACCGATCCAACTGAATTGTAATTGGATCGGATCGGATCAGATTTGAATTTAGTTTGGATTATTCGTGTTGAGAGAAAAACTTGAGACACACTTGAACAAACGTTAGAACAAGTATAGTTGCGGAATAGTTTTACTCAAAGGATCTAAAAGCTCAACAATAATAATGATAAGTTAGAGTTAGATAATTAGAGAGTTAGATGCGGAAATGTAAGGAAATATAAAGACAGCAGGTATTATATCAAGTATACACGTAAGTTGATTCTTAACAAGGAATGAATTCAAATCAAGTTAGTAAACGAGATCAAGCTTAGTGATTAAGTCAAGAATGACTTGCTTCGAAGAGAGATGATATCCAGTTATGATATGGTGAATTTGGAGAGTAAGAAAGAGATGAGAGTAATAACACAAGATTTGATTTATAAGATGCGAAGTGTTATCAGATGTATATTCAGTTGAGAAAGATTGAGTTCTATATATAGAGACTCAAAGGTTACACTTGTTCATCTATCTAAATGTAGCCATGCAAGGCATACTGGATAAAAGAGAGTATTCTAAGAAAAGCAGATAAAAGGCTAAACTAAGAAAACTAGATAGTGAACTGCTGATGATGATGACTTCGGATGCGGTTGCTGAAGTGACTTGACTGCGGATCTTCTAGGGGCTGCGGTAGGTCAAGTTTAAGAGGGTCACTTTCATGATTCAACAATTTCCCCCGAAGTGACCTCTTCAACTTTTTCTTCAGTTATCAAGTTTTAGGAACTTGATTAGAATCCACCAAAACTTACTGCCATTCTCCAACCAGGTGATCCTTCTTAAAATTTCGAACTTGACTTCGGCAGTTGTATGTTTTGACTTTTGAACTGCGGTTCGACAAACTTCCAGTTGTTTTCTTGTGAGGCGATTCATGGCAGTCAAAGGAATGAAGTATTTGGTATCATTGATTTTCCTTTTGAAGATGACGCCAAGATCTGGGAAGTTTGTTGTACCTAGAGATCTTTCTTGATAGCCTTCAGTAAACATTGGTGCAGGATCAAGTGGTGGTAGATCGAACTTCTTGGCAAGAACAGGGTGAATGTCCGCATCAATTTTTGCAAAGTCACAGACAGTTTCCCTTAGAAAAATGCTAGCCCTCTCAAATGCTATCTCCATCTTTGGATACTTCTGGGATTTGTTTTGGAACACCCTCGCTATCAGGAAGACTTCTTCTGGATTCATGCATGGGAAGTCAGCTTGGGTGCGGACGTAGTCCTGATTCCTTCTTGTGAGAGTATACTGAATGAAGTCAGCTTTCATGAATTTCCGGGGTTTGAAGTTTTTGACTGCGGATGGTCTATCGTTAGACCAGATTTTCTCAATTGAGGAAGCATGTTTGGCATGGAATCGATTAAGTCTTTCGAATTCCATGGGCAGTCTCTTGTGATCAGGTAGGCTTCGGTCAAACTGCTCG